ATCATCTCTTGGACCCTGGATAATAGACTTAGGTGCTACTCATCATCTTTGTGGTAATAAAGATCTCTTCACTTTCTTATTCTAATAACCTACCCTCTGTCACTTTTGCTGATGGCACTAAGGCTCCTGCTCGTGGAATTAGGGAAGCCAACCCAACTCCCCTTTTAACTTTGAGTTCTGTTTATTATATACCTGGTATTCCTTTTAATTTAATCTCTGTTAGCCAGTTGATTCATTCTCTTTCATGTACTGTTACCTTCTCTAAACAATCTTTTTCTATGCAGGATTCGGGTACGGGGAAGACGATTGGAGCGGGCATTGAGTCACGAGGTCTCTACTATCTGATTGCACCACCTTCTCCAGTAGCATGTTCTCTCACAGAGTCTCCTGAGCTAATTCACAGCCGTCTGGGTCATCCAAGCCTATCCAGTCTTAAGTATTTAAACTGTCATTCTTGTCAGCAAGGAAAGCACACTCGCTCCTCCTTTACTAATAGAGTCAATAAAAGAGCTGATGCTCTTTTTTCTATTGTTCATTCTGAAATTTGGGGTCCGAGTCAAACAATGTCTGTTTTGGGTTTTCAGTATTTTGTCACCTTTATTGATGATTTCTCTCGTTGCACTTGGGTTTATTTAATTAAAAATAGTTCTGAATTATTTTCAATTTATCAAAAATTTGTGCTGAGATAAATACTCAATTTGGTTCTTCTATTCAAATTTTGCGCAGTGATAAAGCAAAAGAATATGTGTCTCTTGAGTTTTCTAATTTTTTTGAGAAACGTGGGACGTTACACCAGACCACTTGTCCACACACTTCACAACAGAATGGAGTGGTTGAACGTAAGAATCGACATCTGGTTGAAACTGCTCGTACCCTACTAATTCATATGAATGTTCCATTTCGTTTTTGGGCAGATGCTATAATCACCTCTTGCTTTCTCATCAATCGCATGCCCTCTTCCGTACTCAATAACGAAGTTCCACATAGTGTTTTATTTCCAAGAGCACCTTCTTATCCTCTACCTCCACATGTATTTGGATGTACCTGCTTTGTTCATGATCTTACTCCAAGAAAAGATAAATTAACATCCAAAGCCTTCAAGTGTATTTTCCTCGGATATACTCGTTTTCAAAAGGGGTATCGTTGCTACTCTCCTAATCTCAAGCGTTATATTGTTTCGGCTGATGTCACTTTCCTTGATCAACAACCTTTTCATTCTATCCCATCTCAGATAAATAAAGTTGATCAAGTTCTTCTTGTTCCTTGTCTTAATTTGTCTTTACCAATTGCAGGAGACTCTATCCTTGATGAGCAGCCCCTTGCCTCCATCCTGAGGATCGTCCTTTTCTCACCTATCAGCGTCGTTAGACTGCGCCTCCAGCGGATTTGACCCTTACTGACTCACCGCCTGCTACTGTTGACTCTTCCCCTCCGGATCCTCCATCAGAAATTACTCTCATTGCCCTTCGCAAAGGTATTCGATCCACTCGTAACCCTCATCCACTTTATAGTTTCTTGAGTTATGATAGACTTTCTTCACCACATTTTACTTTTGTTTCTAGTATTTTGTCTATTTCTATTCCTAAAACCACAGGTGAAGCACTCTCTCATCCGGGTTGGCGTCAAGCAATGATTGATGAAATGCAAGCACTTCACTCCAATGGCACATGGGATCTTGTTCATGCTACTCCTGGAAAGTCAGTTGTCGGTTGTCGATGGGTATTCACTGTCAAAGTTGATCCTGATGGCACTGTTGATCGCCTCAAAGCTCGTTTGGTGGCCAAGGGGTACACTCAGATATTTGGTCTTGACTATGGGGATACTTTTTCTCCTGTTGCCAAGATGGCATCTATTCGCCTATTTCTTGCACTTGTTGCCATTCATCAATGGCCTCTTGTACAGCTTGATATCAAAAATGCATTCTTATATGGTGACTTGCAAGAGGAAGTATATATGGAGCAACCACCAGGTTTTGTTGCTCAGGGGGAGAAATCTGGAATGGTATTTAAGCTTCGTAAATTTTTATATGGCCTGAAGCAGTCCCCTCGGGCTTGGTTTAGTCGCTTTAGTTCTGCTGTTCAATCCTTTGGCTTAATCAGAAGTAAAGTCGATCATTTTGTCTTCTATAGTCATAGCTCTTCTGACCAGTGCATTTATCTCCTGGTCTATGTTAATGACATCATTATTACTGGCAGCGATCAAGTTGGGATTGATCAGTTAAAAAGTACTTATTCAATCAGTTTCAGACCAAAGATCTTGGCAGACTTCGATATTTCTTAGGGATTGAAGTGGCACAGTCTAGGCAGGGCATCTCCATTTGTCAGAGGAAGTATGCACTGGATATCCTAGATGAGACTGGTATGTTGGGATATAAACCTATTGATACACCTATGGATCCTAATGTTAAGCTGTTACCCGGACAGGGGGAGCCATTGGCAGACCCTGGTCGTTATCGCCGATTAGTTGGAAAGTTGAATTATCTTACTGTGACAAGACCAGACATCTCTTTTGCAGTTAGTGTGGCAAGTCAATTCCTTGACTCTCCTTGTGACTCCCATTGGGATGCAGTTATCAGGATTCTTCGATATATCAAAAGAGCACCTGGAAAAGGTTTATTATACATAAATAAAGGGAATGCAAAGGTATCTAGCTATTCAGATGCTGACTAGGCAGGTTCTCCTTTAGACAGACGATCCACCTCGGGGTATTGTGTTCTCCTTGGAGGAAACTTGATCTCTTGGAAAAGTAAGAAGCAAACTATGGTAGCAAGGTCAAGTGCAGAGGCAGAATATCGGGCAATGGGAAATGCAACATGTGAGCTCATCTGGCTAAAACAATTGCTTAAGGAACTACATCTCTGTGAATAGCAACCCATGAAGCTCATTTGTGACAATCAAGCAGCATTGCATATATCCTCTAACCTAGTCTTTCATGAGAGGACCAAACATATAGAAATTGACTGTCACTTTGTTAGAGAGAAGATTCAATCAGGAGAGATAGAAACAACATTTGTCAATTCCAGTGATCAACTTGCAGATGTTTTCACCAAGGCTCTGAGAGGTCCCCGAATAGATCATATATGTAACAAGCTGGGAGCTTATGATATATACGCACCAGCTTGAGGGGGAGTGTTAGAAATAATATAATATTAAATAGTATTGTATTATTTATTATTCTGTTATTCTAGCATGTTATTTGGGCTTAGCCCATTAGGTCATTTAACCTCTTTAAATAGAGGTCTTTTGTACAGTTCTATACACAATTGAATACAATACATTCATACATTCTAATTGAGGGGAAGATTTGTTACTGGAAAACTTGTCTAGTTACTGCATTGCCATTTATTTTCTCTTTCATTTCTACTGATGAGTTAGCATAACTAAAGAAGGTTCTAGGTGTTACTGAGGTGGCTAGGATATGGTATAGATGGTAAGGGTGTAATGTATACTATGAATTGTGTCATATAAAAATCCTTCTTTCTTTATTCTATTTTAAATGCATTTCTTGCCTCTTAAGCTCTTAATCTAGAGTAGCGTCCTCCATTGTTATCTCCCAGATTAATTGCATTCAATACTCAAGGTTGCTCCTTGTGACCAAAAGGTCATGGGTTTAAGTATGGAAAACAGCCTCTTCGTTATCTCCTACATTAATTGCATTCAATACTCAAGGTTGCTCCTTGTGATCGGAAGTGCACGGGTTTGAGTATGAGAAACAATCTTTTTTATAAATATGTAAGGATAAGGCTGTGTACAATCAAACCTAACCCCTACCCTCGCAAGTCGCGGAGATTGGTGCACCAGGATTTGCCCTTTATTTTACTCCTAGATTCTTAGTAGTCTTGAGATTTCTACCTGCCATCCACTTTCCCTATTACATCAATTTGAAATGGACTTTTGCAATGGCATAGTTTTGAATAGTGATATTAGTAAATATATCTATTTGTTCTTGCTCTTTCTTGCTAATTAAGGCCCCTATCAAAAGAGAATGATGCCTTTACATGAAGAGTGAGGGAAGATCATGATGTTTCTATCAATACTCGTGGTCCTGGATAGAAGATTATGGCTGGTAAAGGTTTGGCAAAGCTCAATTGATTTATCGGAAGGAAAATAACATAGTATGGAACTTGAAATAAGAGAAAAAGAGGATCACAATCGACAGCCAATTCCCATATCCTACCAGGTCAGAATGGTTAAATAAATCAAAACAAATTTATTGGAATGAACATTTAGATCATAGTCTGTTTTAATGGTTTTGCTTAAGGTTTTCTCAGTCTTCCTTACTTCAGTTAATCTACCTATGATCCTTTCCAGAAATTTTTTTATCTTTAAGTGTTGAAGTTGGAGGATGGGAATTTGAAATTGGAAAAAATAATAGTTTTGTTTGGATTAGTTAAAAAGTTTGGCAGTATGGTTTGTTCATCTGACTAACCGTTTATTAAAGTGATTTAACCTGTAATTTACATATCTATGAATCTGAATGATGATATGTTGATCAGTTGTTGGTAAAATATTGGTTAAACTAGTTTAATGAATGGTTAATCATATGCATGAACAAAAATATCCATATGTTTTAATCAAGTCGAACTAAATTGCCATTTTCCCTTTGACATTTTGGTGAAAAGTGTGTGATTGTTGTATTAATAAAGTTTTACATGTTCCATTACACTAGTACAACTAAAAACAAGCCTTCAAAAACAATTTGAACTTTAAAGTTTTTTTCTTTTCCTTAAAGGGCATAAATTTTTAAGTGAAACATTACATCCTTTTGTGTTATTCCATTTAGAGGGGGTGTGTAGGCCAAAGAAAACAATATAAATAAAAATTAATACAAACAGAGGGATATGATGAGACAGGAATCACACCAAAAATCAAAATACAGAATCGTAATACAATTTCAAAGCAAGATTATGCAATCAACAATATGAATAGAGTATATATTTATACATTTAGGATTACAACCCCAAAAATGAAAATGCTTCTCATATGTTGAGGAGGCTGTTCAGTTTGTTGTATAAAATTCCCATTATGAGAAGGGTCTAGCGAAGGGTCAAACCCATTGTTGTAATTGGTTGTACAATCCGGGTATTTTGAAAGAAATTTTTTTATCATGTTATATACACTATCTGGGTAAAATATTTGATATTGTTACTTGATTAATGGAAGGATCCTTGGAAGCTTTTGATGATGATCCTTCTTCCTTGATCTTTCTTCCAACTGAAAATGCAGGATGATTAGGGTTGGGAAGGATCGATGTGTCACTTGCCAGCATGAAAACAACCATGGACATGGTTGGTCGATCTTCTGCATCTTCCTGTACACACAACAAAGCAATGTGTATGCACTTCATAACTTCATTGGCTATGTATGTCTTTTCCAGTGTTGGATCTAACAGTTCCAAACTTTTTCCTTCACACCAAAGTCTCCAACTCTGCATGCAAATTTGAATATTTAGAAATGAACCACATGTATATCTCTTCTAATATCAATTTCTTAATGATATGAGAGGAGGAAAACTCACATATATAAGAAGACTTTGACCATGTTCTGAAAGATAGAATCCACCGTTTCTTTTCCCACAAATGATTTCTAATAAAAGAACTCCAAAGCTGAAAACATCAGATTTCACTGAATATATCCCTTCCATAGCATATTCTGGAGCCATGTATCCACTGTTTTAAATCAATAGAACACTATTAGGTTGTTAACCTTAGCAAAAAAATTTAATTAATTACAAATATGTGTCATGAATAGAAAGAGTTGCCAATAACACATACTAGGTGCCCATAACTCTTTTAGTATTGTCCTGACTTTGGCCTTTTTCAAATGCCCTTGCCATTCCAAAGTCAGATATTTTAGGATTCATCTCTTGATCCAGAAGAACATTGCTGGCTTTCACATCTCTATGGATTACTCTAACTCTAGAGTCTTCATGAAGGTATAGAAGTCCTTTTGCAATTCCATTAATAATGCTCAGTCGTAACTTCCAATCTATCTGTTTTCGTTTTTCCTCATCTAACATGCACGCGACAAAGGAAAGGTTTTTTGACACAGGAATATATGGAGGAAAGAACAAACAACAAACTTGTCCAAGGAAATTGTTATATTGAGGAAAGCTATGCCAGAGGAAATAATCATTTGTTGTTTCTTTTCTTTTCTTTTTTAAGTTATTTTTTAGGAAATGTCATCTAATGTGTGTAAATTCAATTTGATACAAACCTTGGGAGAGTCTCACCCCAAAAGTTAGCTTATAATATAGGAGAACCCAAAGTCCATATAAATCCTATATCAGAACTTTTTGTTTCCAATGTGAAATTCCAAGTCTCATACTTTGCAACTAGATTGTAACACAATTTATCTTTGAAAATGCAGAATGTGCTAGTGGCATAATTTTGAAGGCTGTCAAATAATAAATTGTTCTGGTACTGTTTCAATCATACATATGGTTCAGCTTTGAAAGGCAGAGTAAGAATTGTTACTAACAGAAATTTCAATTTTGTCATGTTACCACAAGACAATACCATCCTTACCGCTAATCTCTACAAACTTGTATAAACAACAAATTGGAACAAGAAAAAAGAAAAGAAACGGAAAAACTAAAGGCATTTAGTTAAAACATACTGAACAGGTGAGAGTCAAGGCTAGAATTTGGCATGTACTCATATACAAGCAGCTTTTCATTTTCCTCATAGCAGCAACCCAAGAGTCTCACAAGGTTCCTATGTTGTAGTTTAGCTATGAATATTACTTCATTCTTGAACTCCTCTAAACCTTGACCAGATGTTTTAGAGAGTCTTTTGACAGCAACATCTGTTCCATCTTCTAAATTACCCTGAAAGAAATGTTGAAAATAAAGTAAAGGCCAAATAAATATGACAAACTAAGAGTCAAAGCAAAACTATACATAAATTGCATGCATATCCAATTCAATGATACCTTGTAAACTGGGCCAAATCCACCTTCTCCTAATTTACAGAATTCTGAGAAGTTATTAGTGCTCTGTCGAATCCAAATTAAAGGGATTGTAGGAAGGTCTGCATTCAGTGATTCCTCTCTTTGAACATGGTCATGATAAGATGTAGGAGTAGTCTCTAATAGCAGTTCATCTGCCAAGGAAACTTGTTTGTAATTTGTCTTATTGCCATAGGTGAGTACGCGAAATTAGCTAAGAGAACTTTCAACATGTGTATAACTTATTTTAATTACCTTTACTGGATTGATACCGCCACCTTATGTAGTAGATACTGCTACTTAGTAAAGCTAGCGCCACCAGCACAGTCACTATGGTGATGATCAAGGTCTGTGACTTACTTGTACCTCCCTGATTGGCTGCAAGTGCAACAATAGCAAAGATGAACATGTCACATTTCTTTTCTCTTATATACCAAATTCTTTCAATAAATAAACAGATATAATTTAAGGAAGTTCTCATTTATCAAAGAAGTAACACTTGGGAGTATTTCTGTAAAAAACTCAATATTTCCACATCATTAGAATTATAGTTATCAAATGCGGATTGCGGCATGTGGCGACCAACCCCGAAAAACACTATAGCGTTATAGCGGGTTGCGGTTGCGGAAATAGCGGAATAGATATATGACAGAAATAATGACAAAAAGAAACACTTTTTAAAGACAGAGATAGCAGAAGTGACAGAGAGAGATGCAGATAGACTAAAAAACCCTTAATTTTTTTTTGTTACACATTTAAATTTAGGACAAAATTGACATTTTGCTTTATGTCAGCAATGTGGCCGCAAATACGATCGCAATGGCCGCTATTGCGTTCCGGTGCAGCGAGGCACCACAACGCTCATACGGCGCGGCTCGCGGCGCTATTGCGACGCAATTAACTACTATGATTAGAATAATGTACATGTGTTACATGGTATTTGTTTTTGCTGAGAACTTAATCTATCCAATGTCTATGCAGGAGACCTATTCACATAAACCAATTCGTATCCACACAATTGACATACAATGAAGTAAAACTCTTTTAAAGTGAACTTGTCTCTACAGTCTTTAAGTAAAGATTTATCCATAATTAAATTTTTACAAGTTAAAATCTCAATGCACTTCAAATTAAACAAAAAGAAAATATAATCATATACTACATGTACCTGAATTAGGCGAAGGAGAAGATGTTTGATTAGTAATCTGGTAAAACATATAGTCATCATACTTCATCAGACAGCTTGGAGCTGAAACCTGCCAATTCAGCTTTGTTCCACAGCATTGAGGAACTTTGTCCAACATAGCCTCCAAACACTGGCTGCACTCATCAGCAGTAATGTCCCTGCTGCACTGCACCAAACCATACCTTTCCTCAGAAGTACTCAAGTTGAACTCACCCATTGCAAACAACTGGTTGGTCTCCACGGTAGCTTCTCTTATCAAACTTTGCATATAATTATCAGCTTTCTGAAGTTCTTCTGGATTAGTGATGTTCTTGTCTCCCACATTTTGTATTGATGGGGTTGTTGTAAGGTTCCCAATAAAATCATGGTTTGAGTATCTTAGAACGCAGTAGTTATACCATATAACAACAGAGGATCTGTTAGGACAGCGCTGAAGAATTTCTGAGGCTGCAGTAGAGACACAGAAATGGCAGAAAGATCCTGTGACATCACCCCTGCAATCATAGAGACCATAGATAGCATCAACTGTGTTGGTTTCTATGATGGTGTGGTTATATCCATTGCTTGTGGTAACATCAGATGATAGCCATGAGAGGAAGTTGTTAAGGTTGGTTTGGTATGTAGTTGTGAGAGCTTCTTCTGTTGAGTTTTGGCAGTCATCACCCATGTAGTCTGGGGATTGTGCACTTGCTGTGATGAAGAGGGTCATGAAGCCAAGAAATCTAAGGATGGTAATTAGTATTGTTGCCATCATTATTGGGTAATGTAATGGTTGTCTTGGTAAAATTGTGTGTATGAGGGAATTGAGGATAATGTTCAACTGCCGATAAATTATGCTAACTGAAGAAAGTAATATTTTAAGTTGAAAATTAATATTTGAGGAAGACGCCTACCTAGATTTATTTTCAAATCTTACTGATTAGAAAAGTAGTAATTGTTCTTCATTTTGCTTTAGTATCTTATTTCATATTAAAATATGGGTTTAATGTTTTTGCTTTTTGGTGCACAAAAAACTTTTCCGTCTCACTCACATAAAAGTTAGCGGGTCTCAATATTTTTTTCTCTTTCTCTTTATAATAGGTTATGTGACTGTGGCAGAGAAGTTTTTTTTTGTAGCAAAGATAGAAACATTTTTCCCTTAAAATATTGCATAAAAACAAGATGAGGTTTGGTTTGTTGAAAGTTGGAATATTTTCTAGATGAACTTTATTTGTAGTTAAGGGATTTGAATTTCATATTGGCAAGGGATCAATGTACGAGTATTTCAATATAAGGAGAGGGAAGTGCATCCCTCGATCCTCTAAATGTTAAATTTTCCCATGATTTTGTTATGTTAAAATTTTATATTTATGTTTATCTTTCTAGAAATTTACAAATTTTGACAAGGCATCACCTATTTCATCTTAGTTCTCTAACTTTTGGAATCAAATGTGCATTAAATATTTGATGTACAAATAAATGATCTGATGATTTCACTTCAAATGGACAAGTATTATCGACTTCAGTTTCTAAAGATTAAAAGAATCTTTTGTCCAGAACAAAAAGGCGAAGTCCCACTCAAAAAGATCATCTATCAATCAGAAAGGTCGAAGAACTACATAGAATAATAATTTTAGAAATAGACTTGACCAAAACAGAGGAAAAATACTTACGAATAGTCAAGATAAGAATAATCAAGCGTAAAACATTCAGAGGAGACCCTTATGTTGTTGGAAGAAGAAAAAATTTACACCCATGGTGTTTGGTAACTGTGTTTATTTTGAAATCCGGGAGAGTGACCTTGGGATTGTGATTTTCTCACATTTGGTACAAAAAAGTGTAAACTTTTTTTTTTTTTTAAAAATTGACATCCCGGGATTTCAATTTGTGAAGCAAAATTCCACGTAAAAATACCACCTCAAGGGTGGTATTTTCGAATTCCCACCCGGGGGAATATTTGCAAAAAAAAATTTGGACAAAATTATCCAGTCATCTTCGTCCTCTCCTTGTCGTTCAAACATGTGAAGCTTTCCCTATACATCATCTCATCTACATAGTCAAAAGATTCAAAACAATAATAACTTATTCCCTTACCCTTTTTTTTATTTCTTATGGGTTTTCAGTTTCGCAAAGCACAACGTTCGCAATAACATCCCCCGAAAACATGTCTTCAGTTTCTTTCGAAGGTCATTGTCACTTAAACGAACTAGGCAGACATTATCGCAGTAACAACTTTCAGAGTGGAATGCCTGTTTTGGGTTGGTGGGTCAATTTCAAGTTTTTTTTTCTTTGATCGATTGAGAAGTTAGAGAGTGCAGATTGCAGATAGAGAAAGAAGAGATTGTGGGGATTGACCGTTGTACACCCAAAATGTTAACATCACTTATGATATTAAACGCGGTTACAATCACATTGATTAATTAAGACTACAGATAAACTTTTTCATAAAAACATTATTCATTTGCTTTTTAAAACAAAATCGCACTTAATATAACAAAAATCGTAAGTCTAACCATGTAACATTCTCTAAACTGAGACCACTACACTTAACCATTAACTCTCACCTTTTTATTGTTATAAACTAGATATCTAGGGCTTTCCGGAAAGATATTACAATAACCATTTGGTTAAGTATAGCCAGAGTTATTAAACTCACAACGTAGCTGGCAAAACTGAACTTTTGGAATTGGAGCATTAACTTCAATCCTAAACTGACATTGATATACTCATCCAATGGCCTTAATATTTTACAGGATTATATCTCAATTTGTTAGTTTCACATAGGTTTAAACCTCACTCAATTTAGAGCTCTCTAGCTCGAGTTATTCTAATTTTACTAACCTACGTTCGTGCTGAAAACGGGTTGCGCGTTTAAGCGCACTGAGAGCATTTAAGCGAGCTCTTCGAACATTTTTTTCGCCCGTTAGAGCGCTTAAGCGCGATCCAACGCGCTTAAGCGCACACAGGTAGAGAAAATTGGTATTTTTAGGCCACCAAGAGCGCTTAAGCTTCCTATAGAGCGCTTAAGCGCGTTCCGACAGAGAAAAATAGGTTCAATCTGCATAATGGCATCTAACTTGATGGAGCATTGGGTGAATTAGATACCTAATAAACTAGACATGGCCAACAACGATCCAACACATATTGTGGCACACATATCCCACCATATTCATCAATTTATCATTCAAATCAAAATGAGAAAAGATGCTTCACATTCAATCCATGTTACAATGAATCATTTACAACAATATTCTTCAAGATAATTACATGCCAAATGATTTAGCTATAAAAGGGACATGGTCAAAACTATTAGCCATATACAACAAGGCATTTACCACCATAAAGATCTTGCACTAAGTCCTCCAAAATATATCACATGGCCTCAAAATATACATGTACAGGGGGGATATAAATGGCATATGCATCTTACAAATCCTAAACAACATGCAATCTAAAATATCAGGCTATCAACATATGACATTTAGTTCAAATACGTTGTCACCAAAGGCTGCTGCAACATCTGTACCTGGAAAGGGGTCCCCACAACACGGGGTGAGATATACGAGTATATCACAGTAAACCAGGAGTCCTTGGAGCATCTCTCCATCCCATAGTCACTTACAGTGTAATAGCAATAACAATTAATAATGCAGTAAATACATATCCATGCAGTGTGTAACAAACATCTCCAGGAGACATCTCTCGAGCTCTCATGTTGTCCTAAGGATACTCAGATGCAAATAGTCCTACTGGCCAGCTAAACTACAAGTATGAATTGCGCATCGTCATGCAACATACAAAACATAAGGAAATATCATCTTATGTCACACCCAGTGCATACACATACGTATAACAAAGCATTAAACTATTTTATTACATTTACATACACTATCAACAACCACTATCCATTTCGGGCTTGGCGGAATAATTAAGGGATCAATTCCCAAGGTTTGAAGGCTTACCTCAATGCTTCCAATCCAACCTTTGTTCACCAACAAGTTTGCATCAATCAAACTTCACAATTAATACCAATTCAAGTGAGCTAACCAAGTTCCATGGTCTCCATCGGTTCTTGATCAATCAAAGGTGGTTCGCTTGCTCTAACCCTATCAACACAATGGACATATTCAATCATTCAATTCACTAATTGCTCAAAATGCTAGAAAATTCCCAAGCCCAAGCATGAGTTTTCTAATATATTGAACAATAATCAAATGACAACATAAACTCATTTCTACTGATTATTCATCATTCTAAGCAACTTTTCCAAAAAACCAAAGCTTCAATCAAGCTCTAAACTACCCCATCATCCAAACATTTTCTCAAACAAAACCTTAATATACCCATTACCATAAAAACCATGGAAATGCCTGTAACTAAACATAAACTCACCTAGAATCATGCAAGGAAGGGATTGCAAGCCTCCAAGCAAAGCAAATCACTCTCCAAGATCCTCAATCACAAGTGGGTCGCCACTTTCACCACATTTTTCTCCCAATACAAGGCTTTTTGGTAGATTATGGATTAGGGGTTGTGTTTGCCTCTCAATTTTAATTAGATTGGTCTAAGAATCAAAGGATTTGGTTGAGAAATTGAGGAGTTAGGTTTTTGGAGCTTTTGGCTATGGCTTCTTCGATTCTCCCTCTGCCAAACGAAAGAGATAACACAAAATGGGGAAGGGAATGCAAAGTTAAAGACTTAACTTTGGTTAGGTAACTTTTCATCGAGTACAAACTTATCTATCTATTCACCTCCATTCACTTCTAAACTTTACCCTATGGTCTGGAATATTTTTCTAGGAACATTTTTAATTTTACTTTTATATTTTGGGTACTTTTGCCTACACACTTTTTTACCTCATAATTTTCCCTGACTGCACTTTTTACCTCAAAGTAATCCTAACTAATTTAATTAGGTCTTTTGCTTCTTTCAATCCACTAATACACGCTTAATGTAAATGACTAATTAATCAGGTTAGGGCTATTATAATTGGTGGAAAGGTTATTTTTGTAAAATTACCGCACATTCTCAGCAATATTTTGTAATCAACCAAACATAGTATTAGGAAAATTAATCCAACATTCTCGGAAAACTCACTTTCCCACCATATTCCTCGGAATCGTGATTCTCGGGGTAAAAAAAAAAAATTTACCCATCACAAAAATAACATTATTCATTGTCTCCTACTTCAAACGATTTCTTTTTTTTTTTTTTGTGGACCTAAACAAATACAAGACAATAATTTAATACTACACTAATATCATATTTGTGAAATGAAATGCATTTCATATTAAAATTATACCAACTCAAAAGCACTCAAATTTCGCTCACACACAGAGGAACTACATGTCAAGCTAAGGACACAAATAACCAATTTTTGGAGCTCTGGAACACCATCACCATAAGATTCCCACCATGTTGCTGGACTCTTAGTTTCAACTCCATCCTTAGCAAAGGTAGTCCTAAAAAGACATCTACGATGCTTGAATTCCCCAAGTTGCTCATCAATCTTTTTTTCTACGGCTATATCCACCACCATCTTTTTTATACAATCATATAGTCCAACCTTTACTTCATAATCAACTTTAAACGTAGGAGAATAATGTTGTTTTGGGTTAAGATAATAGCCTACAGCATGCAAAGGCCTATGGAGTTACCTCTCTCATCTTGCAACAATGACATCCCAAATAGGTTGATAACTAAAAAAATGAAAAGATAACAATTGAATTAATTTTGAGTTAAAAATGTCTATAACTTTGAATTAAATAAATT